TTGTCCTAACGCTCCCTCCTGTCTTCTGTAAAATGGCAACAGAAGCTAGAGGGACACCACACCGGGGTCTCCCAGGCAGCAAGTGAGGCTGTGCTGGGGGAGGGCCTCCTGACGCTGCAGAGACAGGGAAGGCTCCCGGGTCCTTGTCCTGCCGATATTGTGTCTTCTCTGGCTTCTCTCCTTGGGGCCATGGGCTCCCACCCAGCTCCCCTCCCAGCTCCAGGCTGCGGAGCCAGCTCAGTGGCCTCCAGGACCACGGTCTGCTCTTTCTGCCCAGTCTCTCCTGCTCTTTTCTGTCCAGGGTGATCTTTACCAGACTTATTTATGGTGCAGAGGTCCAGTCATGACCCCACCCCTCCCAGCCTCTTCAGCAGGGATGGGATGATGGGGAGCCAGGAGCCAGTGTCTGGGCAGACACGACAGCACCCAACATGTCCAGAGTGGAGGACTCCTGCAGCCAAGAAGGGGACACGGGAACATTATTAGAGGCAAAGTTCTCCAGACGGAGTGCCACTGCATGGCCTGCAACTCACAGCAAATACTATTCTCAACCAAGTACCCAAATGAATTTTCTTCTTCACCGGTTATAGCTACTCTCTTCTGCAAAATGGCAGTCAACATAAGTTTTTCTGAACAATCCACCAGAGGACCATCAATTGCTATCACAATGGGAAAAATGCTGCAATGGGTTGAAGGACCAGGACAAGGAGCCTGGAGAATGAGATCAAATGCTTAACTTTCACTCTAAAAAATGCCACTGTATTATCTCCTGAAAAATAAATGAACAGGTGCTCAATTTAGGAGTGACAATTACTTTGTGTAAAAACTTTTGGGAGAGATGTGTGTCTAGAGGCTGAGAGGGAGTAACAGGTGTTCATGACCAGGCGTACATGTGCAGAGGCTGGGTGTGCCTGAAACGTGAGATGCCTGTGCACAGAAATACTGGGGTCTTGGTTACAAACAGGACCATGTGCATGAGAAGAGAAGCTTCCACATGCACAACTGTGGGGGAAGGTAGTTTCACATTTTACCTACATAGGCGCCTGTGTATGTGGGGTGGAAGAGAGGCATGTTAAATTATGAATTCACCTTACTTCATTTTCTACATAGCGCTGAACTGTTTTCTGGACCCTTCAAAAGTTTGTCATTTGGCTAGGTCAGAAGCCACTTCCAATTCTTAGCTTAAAACATCACAGCCTCTTTGGTGGGTGATCCATGGCTTGGCAGGTTGAGCTGGGGGGAGGGTGCAGGGGAGGCAGAAGCAGGTGGAAGATGCAGAGGAAAATCCAGTGGCCCTTTTAGGTGGGATTCAGATCAGAGTCGTGGGTAAAGATGTCTAGGAGGAAGCATTTAGACAGAGTGGTGAGGTTGGAAGGCATTGGGGGATGGTTTTGAAGGCGTCCTTGTTCTGCTAACTCTTTTTCTAGTGTAATCTCATTCTTATTTGGGTGGCCATGGGGAGGAGATCATGGGGGTGTGCCCTTCTGTTCTGCTGGTGTCTGCCCAGCCCCAGGGGGAGGTAGGGGAAGCAAAGAAAATGATCCCTGCCACGCTGTCAAGTGCAGCTCTTCTAAGTCTAAAGACTTTCTTTTTCACCCCACGACACCGGGAAGCACCTGCTGTGAAACGCCACAGTTCTCTGGAGATGCCTGGCTGCACACCGGGCTCTGCTTCTGCTGGCAGAGCAAATGTCTCTCTGAATCTCAGTGAACAAGTAAGGTCCAGCCCACTCCAGGGCCTGCAGGCAGGGCCTGTTGAGATCATGTTTCCTAAGCATTTGTAAGTTACCCAAGATTTTCAAGTACAAAGGATTACTTTAATAAAATTAAAATTCGTTTACCTGGACATGATGACACTCACCTATAATCCCAACTACTGTAATGCCAACAGAGGCTGAGGCAGAAGGATCACAAATTCAAGGCCAGCCTGGGCAACTTGGCAAGACCGTCTCAAAATAAAATAAAAGGGCTGAGGACATAGTTCAGTGATGGAGTGCCCCAGAGTTTCATCCCCAGTACCAAAAAATAAAACGCAGTTCTTTCCACACTGATTTGTTTTCCAAATATGTCTATAAACAGGTTTTTCCACTTCTCCCCTTAGACGGCCTCAGACAGATTGGAATACATGGTGCAATGGCGCCACCTACCGGACATCTGCCTGCACTGCGTGGCTTTCGTGTTTTGGAGACACCCATCGTGCAGGGCGAATGAGCCTGTACCCTGTCTACACACTACACTGCCCTTGCAAACTGACCACGGTTCTGGTGTGGAGGAGGTTAGACGAGACAAAGGGAGGATTTCTTCCAACAGCTTGGAGTAGGGATGAGAAGAGTCCTGGCAGATAGCACAGGCTCCCTCCCCAGCACCCGCGGAGATGCTCTGGAAGACTCAAGGGTTCCCTCAATGGTTCCCTCAAGGGTCATCCGAGGGTCAGCAGCAGCAGTATGAGAAACAACTGCCCTCCTGTCCAAGTCCAGGCCCTCAGGGATTGCTGCAAACTACCAAGGGCTACAGGATTCTTTACACTCTTGGTAAGGAGCATAAAGTCTAATAACCTACACCTGGAAATTTATCCTTTAAAACATATTCCAACAGAAGAGGGAGGGGAGAATTACGTCCAAAAACTGGTTATTGTAGCGGTATTGACACTACAAAAAAAGAAAAAAAAGAAACAAACAAACAAGTACATGTTCAACTATAGGGTAAAGAATCAGGGCATGTTGGGCTGGGGGTGCAGCTCAGTGGCAGAGCGCTAGCGAGGTGGGTTCCATTCCCAACATGGCACTCACAAAAAAATCACTGCACCTCAACACAGCCAAATACAAAGCCTAGGCCAATAAGAATCAGATCAAACTATGTGACCATGAGCCTGATTCACCATATTGAAAAAGCAGAATATTAACCTCAAGGCACATTTTTATTCCAATAATGTAAAAAGAAAAGCATGATCAAAGACTCCAAGGTGTGTATCTGAAGTTAAAATCACAACTACCTTAACTGTGGAGCACCGTGTCTGGCTTTGAAGCAGACCATACGACTTTTCCTCAGGATGGCTCTAGACTCCCACCCAGCACTGGGGCCACCTCATACTCTAGACGAACACTGGAGTATCATCCAAGTTCATAATTTTGATCTAACTAAAGCAATAATGTGATTACATTGCACTTTGCATTTCTCAAAATATTAATGATTTGAGCATTATCTCAATTCTCTTTGGTTTTGGATTATGTTTTCTTTAGTAAATTGGGCCTTTTCAGGTTTTTCTTTTCTCTGAATTACCTCTTCCCATTTCTCCAATAAATTGTTTATTACAATTTTTATCAGGATTAGTACCACATTGTACTGGTCAAAGCAAATCCAAGAGCAGCCAGATTCAAGAATTAAGAAGCAGCTCTACTCCTTGGCTGGGATGTGCACAGAAAGAGGGGAGAAGCAGAGGGGTGGACAGCGGTGGGGACTTACACCCTAGGAACTTCCATTTCTCTAGCTTCCAAGAGACTTCCATAAGACACCACCACCTTCTCTCCCTGCCCACTTGCGTAACCTCACGGCTGTGATTTGGGATGGGAGTCACTGTAACCAGAATCCTCGGCTGAAAGCCCTGGCCCCAGGGGTCCCAATAGACCAGCTCAGCCACCAGCCCCAACATGCCAAGGAGACAGCAATGATGAGGAACAGGATCAGTGACCAAAGATCTATCTTCAAGGGGCTGGAGGTGTTGCAGAAAAGGGGAACAAAGCCCGGGCTGGGGGCTTGCCTGGCTGCAGGGCTCCCACAGCCTGTGGAGTGGGTGGTCCTGGGCAGGGACTGGTCAGGCTGATCCTTATCTGGGGACTGGCAAGAAGCTCTGGGCAGGTCACAGTGGCTTGAGGGGGACATGGTTCCCATGTGAGAAGGCAGGATTGCAGGGCAGGAAACAGCCTCGTGGGGTAACTGCTCCCACTTAGGGAGCCACTGCTGGGAAGTAATTTTGGCTCCTGGACCAGCCTATTGTTCCTGTAATCCAAGGTGACTGCAGAAGAAAGTGGCTCAGGGAGAAAAGCGGAGTCAAGGGCAGTCACAGAGGGAAGTTGGAGGTGGTTAGGTAGCAACTCAGCCCTTTCTCTGTGACTTTTTTTCTGCTTCTCTTTCCAAAACCCTTCCATTTCTTTCAAGGCCAAAGACATTGATCTTAGCTCTCACTCAAACTGCTGCTGTCCCAAGGCAAAGCCTCACCGTCCAGCTTTTAAATCATTAGATTTTTTTAACACAGGAAATGTAGGACACAGGGGTGGTACTCCAGTAATACCTAGGATTTGGAGAGAAAGTTTTTTTTTAAAATTGAAATGCTGAAAGATACAGAACATCACACGGATTTCTCACCAACCAAGAAGAGCTTCTATTCCTCATCCTAATTTCTGTACCGATTTCAACTTTATATTCATATTCTAGTGCATGACAGTACTGCTTCCACGTGCATGCGGCCACATAGTCCCTTTGATAGGAAAACTGGAAAGGGGTTGAGAGTGAATATAAGGTGGGAGGTAGGCGAGAGGGAACAGGGCAATGAGATTTTGAGAGAAGAGAAACGGAAGGACGGAAGGACGGAAGGGGAGAGCTTCTGTGAGTAGAAGGACTTGGAGGTGAGATGCCACGGAACGCGCCCTGCGTTTTTCTGGCCGCATAATTTTAAGATTTCAAAGATCCAATTAACGATTCTAATTCAGTTCCTTCCCGCCCCTCTCCCGGACTTGCTTTCAGCAGCATCCCAGGGCCAGGACCAACAAAAGAGCACTTCTCCTGAGGTCCAGATCAAGGGGCCAGACCTAAACGGGACTTCCCACTGGGAATCTGTCCTTCCTCCCTCCTTCCCTCCCTCCCCTGCTAGCAACTTGGCATAAACCAGAACCAGCCCCCGTGCGCCCAACGGCTGTGGCCGAAATGCCTCCCGCCGTCGGGCCTCAGGCCGGAAACCTCCCCGACTCGGGGCGTCTGGCAGGGGAAGGGGCGGGCGCAGGCGGCGGGGCAGGCTGGAGGATGCACGCGGGGCTCCTGGGGCTCTCCGCCCTGCTGCAGGCGGCGGAGCAGAGCGCGCGTGAGTGCAGCGCAGCCGCGGCTGGCGCCGGCGGGTGCTCCCTCCACCACCCTACCCCACCCCAGCGCCGGCGGGGGCGCACACCCCACCCTGCCCGCTTGGGCAGCCTGCAGAGCGCTGCGCGCTGGTGCTTGCACGCCGGCTTTCCTCCCAGTTTGCCGAGCCCGCCCGCCGATCCTTAGTGGGTGCTCGTGGTTGCCAGAGCCCTGGCGGATGCACAATCCCCCGCCGGTGCTCGAGAGCCCTCAGGAATGCACGATACCCCCCGGCGGTTGCATGAATTTCCACCCCTCCCCCCCATGCATGACCGATCCAGGGGTCCCCCACGGATGGGGGATTCCCCCGCCGGAAAAGGCGGACTGGCATCCCGCCCTCGCTCCAGAATTCTTATTCCACGCGCTTCGCAAAGTGCTGTGCTGCAAGATGCGCCCCGCCTCTCCCCATCGCCCCGGCCGGCCTGAAGCGGGGAGGCCGCTCGGGAGCCGAGGGCTTGGGGGACCCAGGGCCTGAAGGGCAGTGGCTCCCCACTGGGGTTTGGGGTGGGGCAGACGAGACTGCCGGGGAACCCAACCACCGAGTGAAGGCAAAGCAAAGCGGCCATACTTTTCGCGCCCTTCGCGTTTGAACGTGTAACTCTTTCGGTGCCGGAGAGGAGTGTCTCCGCCCACTTCCGCCACGCCTCCGGTTCTCAGTCCTCCGGGCCCGCCTCTGGGGAGCGGGACGGTGGCCTTAGGGAGGCTCCAGGATCAAGAAGGTTCCTCGCCCGCTACCATCACGCACGCCTTCGGGACCCGCCGGGCGCTGACTCTCTCTGATCTGCGCCGCGGTTCCTCGCCCGTCCCCGGGCTCACCCGCTGCGCTTTCTCCTAGCGGCGCTGGAGGAGCCGGGGTGGGGTCCTACCCAAGCACTCCCAATTCCTGCCCTGCGGCAGGGGAGGGCTAAAACCGGACGGGCAGGCCCTGGTTGGCGAGTGTGTGGCGGGACGCGCAGGCTGTTAGACCGCTGGACAGAGCCCAGGGCCCAGACGCCTCTGCTGGGGCTCCCAGCTGTTCCTCAGGGCAGTGCATTTGCCACCGAAATTCATGGCTTGTGCTCATAGACCCACTTTAAACTTTAATACTGTAAAATCCAAGTAACAGTGATTTAAAAGAGTTACTGGGCATCCCCGTGTCCACCAGCGCTGCTGCCTCCATTACCAGCCTCATCGGATCCTCAGCCGCGGTGGGGAGGTGCTGACAGTGAGGGCCCGCTGCACAGGTGGAGGAGGCTGCCTCACCCAATTAGCTGGGAGGATAAAGGCCAGCAGGTGGGCAGCAGTGCAGGGTGACTGAGGACCCTGTGGGGAGAGGAATGCTGGTCCTCTGCACCATGTCCCAGAGAGGAGGCGGCACACTTAGAGCACATCCCAGCTGCCAGGTACTTGGTACAGTGGCTCCTTGTAACAGAGGGAGGTGCCCCAGAGAGCCCTGACACCTTTATGCCCCTGTTGCCAGCCAGCTCTGCCAGCTCCCAGGCAGGGTCTAGCAGAGTCTTGCTCGTGGTGGGGACACCATGTTGATTGGTTAGGTTGCTTGGTTTTGTCTTTTAATGAGATGGAGTGTCGAGTATGTAGACAAGAGGCTCAGGAAAGCAAGTTCATTGTCCTCACAGGTGCCAGAGGCAGGAGGCCACAGAGGGCCCCTGAGGAAGTACAGTGGTCAGGAGGCAGAAGACAGCAGCCAGGGTAGAGAGGCCAGGTTGGGGCCTCCCAGATAAGGACCAAGCACAGCGGGGTCAGTTTAGGACAGCTAACATGGATGATTTGTGTATGTGTTGAGCTCTTTTGACCCCTGGATGCCTGACTCCTGGCACTGAGACGACTAAGGCAGAGCAGTACTGTCTCGTGGGGTGGGAGCCAGACAGAGGAGGGTGGCCCTGGGTTGGGCAGTCTGCATGTCACAAGCATGCTCCTGGAGGCGCCCTGTGCTACCTCCGAGAGAAGCAGTCTCTTCCCACCCAAGAAACTTTGTAAGATTTCAGAGCATTGTAATATCCGGAAAACCTGAAAATACTTACAGCCCTATCCTTCCAATAACCCCTCTGGTTTTTCTCGTCCCTCCAGGCCTCTGTACTGTGGTTTACTACTTCACCACAGGACAGCTTCTCTGGGGGTGGCTGGCCTTTTCTGTCCTCCTGCCTGGCTTCCTGGTCCAGGGCCTGAGCTATCTGTGGTTCCGAGAAGATGGGTATCTGGGACGTGGCCTGTTGGTGATGCTGCACCTCCTGCAGCTGGGCGTCTGGAAGCGGTAAGAACAGCCAGCCTCCTTCCACCTCCAGAGCATGACCAGGTGCAAGAAGGGACTCCTCTGACCTCTGTCCATATGTTCTGTCCTTAAGGTCCTGGAAGTTCAGGATCACACCTCTGCTTGATACTGACATCCCCTCATCCAGCATCTCTAACACCAGGGCCCCCTCCTAGATGCATCTGTAAACCTTTAGAAAGCTTTTTCTTGTCTTCAGCTAAATTCTGTCTTCATGTTGTGTCCATCCTTTGGTCAACCTTTGGAGCCTCATAAAGCTGCTCATGGCAGCTCTGTTTGAACACCTATTATCTTAGGCCAGGAAGGTGACGTAGTTGAGTTAGCCACAGGCTAGACAGTGAACACCCCCATACCCTCACACCCCACAGCAGCATCTGTTCAAGCTTTTGTGAAAGGAAGAAGTCGTCTGGGAGCCAGGACCAGTGTTTTTGCCACAGAAAAGCTGCCAGAGATGTATCTAGTGCTGTGGGCTTACCTGTGGTCCACGGGCCACCTCTGAGGCCAGGTGTGGCTTCTCCCGGAGCACCTGGAAACAGGGAGTTGTCAGAGAGATGTGACAGTGAGTTTGCACAAATGTGCACTTCAGCAATCAGCCGCCTCAGTGTTCCCATAGGGCTGAAGGGACTTTTTGTAAAGGAGAAGAATTCAGGGATCAGATTGGTAAAGCCTGTAGCTCGAGTGTTTATCCCAGGCCATGAGAGTTCAAGAGTTGGAAGTGTACTGAAGGAGCCCTTGCCAAGTGTTGCTCTCTGTTCTGAGGGTTTGTGCTGTCCCAGTCACTGTCCCTAGGACTTTCTCACAAGGCCCTGAAACAAGTATGTGCCAGGTTCACAGGTGGGAGCCCCAGGTCCAGAGAGAACATGGGCATGGCATGCTGCCTGCCCCACCCGGGGACCCTCAGGCCAGAGTGGAAGGTGCTCCTGAGAAAGACATGGGGCAGCCACCACAGCATCACAGGCCCCGCAGTCGGCCGTCTGTGTCAGCAGGCTCCACAAACACAGCCACAGCCACCACAGAGGCTCCCCAGCTGGGCCTGCATGGGCCAGAGTGCCGGGGAGGACTGGACACGAGGTCTGGGAGGCAGCAGAGAATCTTTTGCCTGGACTTGGGGCCTGCAGCCTCTTCTGAGCACTGCCTAGCGTCTCCATACTCTCCCTAATCAGCCTGGCCTCGAAATGAGAGCAGGAGGGCCGCGGGCCTCTTCCTGACCTCAGCCATCATAGTCATCAAGAACGAGACCTCAGGGGCCAGAGACCTATGGAGAAACTGAGCCAGGCTTTCCTAAGCAAATGTTTGATAGCTGATAGCCTGCGGAGTTGACTGGCCCTGTAGTTGCTAAGGAGAAGCCTTCTGAGTAATTGTCAGGTAGATGTGCCTTCTGAGACTCTGGGCAGCCTCAGGCCCACCTCATCCAGCGCCTTCTTCAGAGGTGAGGATGCAAGAGGCCCGGGGCATGTCCAGATTCTTGGTATTGGTATTTGACAGTGGACTCCACCCTCTTGTCTTCCCCTGGGCTCTCAGAATCTCCATAAGCACACTGATATTCTGGTACATACTGAAAATTAGCATGGGTAAGTGAAGAGAGATGCAAAAATTAGGAGCTAGGAAAGACAACTAGTCACGTGTATCTGATCATTATAAAGAAGTGAAGGTAACCAAAGAAATTTACACATGATTTAAAAGAACACAAAAAAATTTTTAAAAGGGGAGGTTGAGCGAATAAAAAGAAAAATAAAAGCCAGAAAAGGGGGCAAAATATCAGAACATGATCAAGCCAGAGTGGGCAGTTTTTAAAAACAAGCCACAAATTTGGTTCTAACTTCATGACAGTATATGCATAAGAAACTACCCAGCTTACAAGTTTTCTGAGATTACAAATTAGCCAAAACACAGAAATCTACTTCCTTAGTAAGGAGATTTGAAAATAGAAAGAAGAATCTTTTCCTTATTCTGAAGCTAGCGCTTTCAGCTCTCACAAAGAAAACATGGTAAAAGTAGTCTTTTAAAGCAAATCTTTTTTTTTTTTTAATCACAGTTTGGTAAGTCACCTGTAGGGGGAGCCAAAACAGTGGTATTTTGCACAATCCTGAGTTGGATCCCAATGGCCCACAGGGAGTGATTCCATAAGGAAATGCAGAGGAGCCTTCAAAAACAGAGCAATCAATAAACCACAACCCTCTTGAGGAAAGTTGCTTATAAAACTTCAGGACTTTAAAACAAAATTGCTGAATTTTTTTAACACAAAATGATACAAACTATATTCGTGTTAAATCTGACTGTTCAAACCTGACATTAGTAGCAGCTTGTTTAAACCAAGAGTCACTTTTTTTTCTATTTGGGCTTTTTGTGTCCCTTCTACTACTCTGTTACCAACGTCTTTTTAACAATGTTTAAAGCCTGTCAATTCAATTAAACTCCGTGTAAACTGGTAGAAGAGTCCCTAGCTAATCTCCTCAGCATGCATTCTGTGTTAGCACATTTAGAAGTTAAAAGTTCTTTCAAAGAAAGAGGCACATTTTAAGGGCGTGTAAGATAAGCTCAGTGTAGATGGGTGGAGACTGAATACTTAAAAAGTACGTAAAACACAGCTCTAGTCAAAACCTTGAGCTGCAGGCTGACAGGGCCAACATCCCCAGGAATGTTACATTGGAAAAAAAAATCACTTATTCTCCACGTCTTGGGCCCAAGACAGACTACTCTAGTTGTAGTGGACACATTTTCTTGCTTACTTGTTAGTCAGAAAAGACTAGATTGCTGAGAAACTGAATTCTAAAGACAAGTTAGGCTGATGGGTTGTGTTTCCAAGCCTCTGTGTGGAGCCCGTGTTTTTGATGCGACCAAGACCCTGGACCGTCATCCACAGGGCTCAGCATGCTTGGTGTGTGACTGTTCATGGTTAGTGACTCATGTGTGCCCGAGGGGCTGCAGACACGCCAGTGAGGGCAGTCTCTGAGGCTGAGTTAGGAACAGAGCTGAGAGTGGCATTACCAGCACAGAGAAGGATGTCGGCAGAGCACTGTCCCTACACCCGCTGAGGTCTGGTCCTGGCACCTCTGCAGGTTCTCACATGGTGGGGGGGCGGGGAGGCGACTCTGACCAGGAAGCTGCAGTGTTGCTGCAAAGGCACAGCAGCTTCCAGAAACTCCTGTCTGGGGAGTGGACATCTGTCGTCAGTACAGGAGAGTGTTCTCTAGAGCAGGGAAAGTGCCAGGGTAGAGGGACCTTGGTTGTAGCCTAAGGAGCTTGCGGTTGGAAGCCCTGAGAGAGCCGAGACCACCGTGGCAGGCTGGGCCTGGAAGAGCTGCCCTAGCAACAGTCGGCCGAGGCTGTCAGAAGCCAGGCCAGAGCAGCTGGGGGCCTGGGTGTGCTGTGCCAGGACAGATAGGTTGGATCTCAGGACCAGGTAGCCACCTCTCTGCACCTTCCATATCACCCCAGCTTTCCCAGGGCCCCCAGTGACCTACTGTCACAAAACCTGGGGGGCTGCCCTCCCTCAGGCCGTCCGCATCCCGGAGGGCAGCAGCCTCAGCCCACCCCGGAACCTTTCACCGTCTGGCCCCAGCCTCTGTTCCACCAGACTCTTGACAGATCCCAGACGTGGACCCTTCCCACTGCCCCGCTCCCTGTCCCACTGACCCCACACACCCTTGAGGTTCCCTCCCACCTCAGCTGCCCAACCAGGCCTTCCCACCCTCCCCCCAGAGAGCCCTCCTCGACCTCCCGACCCCCTGCCAGGACTCGGGCTCCACCTCCACCCTCACCGCTCATTTTGATGGTTTCTTCCTCAATCCTTTCACGTGTGTTTTCTTTCCAAAACTGAATCATAAGCTTCTAGTGAACATGGTTCATTTTTCTGGTTATATTTTTGGAGTTTCATATGTTTTTTCTTAACATTAAGTTTGTGTCAGAATCAGAGCTTCAAAGACTCAGTGAGAAACCAGTTCACTCCAGGATTCCAAATCATGAAAAAGGAAAACTGTTTTCCCTTAGCATCTTCCCTAGGCCCTCAGCCCCGTAAGTAAAACCCTTTCAAAGGGGACCCCCCACCTTCTGCTTGGACATAGCGGAGCTGGCCAGAGATCAGAGTCTGCCTGTCACGGCAGAGACTAGGGAGATGCTTGGGAAGCCTTCCCCTGTGGACTTCCAGGGACATTGGCTCTGGCCCAGGGGTTGCTCAACTGTGTCTCTGAACTTGGACAAGACCAGGAGGTTCTGCTCCTAAATGGAGCTGTGGGCACCACCGCCCACACAGCAGGCAGGTGGTCACCTCCCTTGTTGCTGCTGATGCTTAGAAACCTCATCACCAATGGGAACTCAGAGTCCACGGAACCCCCAAGTGTGACCAGGGAGTGGCATGGTTGTTAGATAGTCCGTGTGGCCCTTTGGGCAGTTTAGCAGGTGACCCACGCCACATTGTAGACAGCTTTCAGAAGATGAGAATATGAGGAAAAGGCCTCTGGGATGGGTTTATGGGAAACAGGCCTTTCACTGGTGTTTGACCCTCTTCCAGACCCTAGGAAGGTTACCCAGGTGGGCTGAGCTGAAGTGTCCTTGGGGTCCTGCGCAGCCCGGTGCTACAGATGTGTGAGGGGACTCATCCCTTCTGCTGTTTTCTGTGTCCACCTGGCTGCTAGCAGCTGTCCATCTGCCTCCAGCTGCCTCTGGTTCCCCATTGCCTCAGCCTGGTTTGCACGCTCCACCTTGACGACATGCCTTCCCTTTCTCATCTTGCCACCTGACAGCCTGACTCTCCTCCATCCATGTGTGTGTGTGTGTGTGTGTGTGTGTGTGTGTGTGTGCAAGTGCAAGCATGTGAGCATGTGTGCATGTGTGCGGCTTCTCTTTCTCATCCTGGCCCCTAAGCATGAACAGCCCCCCAGCTTCTTGGGTGTCATAATTTTAGGGCACAAGGTTCTTGTGTGTCGAAGTTTTAGGGCACACAAAGCTCTGCACTCCATGAGTGTGAGGATGAGGGTTTTCTCATCTCTCTGGGCTCTAAAGACATGACCACACACAGCACCTTGGAGCAAGCAGCTGCTGAAGGAATTGATTCCCATCCCAAGAGGCTCTGGGGCAGGGGAGCCCGTGGAGTTGCCTTCAACCTTGCCAGCCTACCCGTCTGGGTTTCCTTGCCCTGTGGCAGCTCCTGCACTGGGTCCTGGCTCCTCACCTGCCCTCCCCACCCTCCCAGATGTGGGGAGTCTGTGGCACATAGGCTGGGCCTGGCTGAGCACCAGAACTCAGGGCACACCCATTGGAACTGACATCTTCAGCTTGGAGTCAGCCCAGTGACAGTCTGACTGATGACTCTGGGTGACATTGATGAGTACCTAGGGTAATTCCCGGAATGCTACCTGTCAATGAGTGAAAGAGGGTGTCCTATTGAGTCCTGCCACAGCCTGGCTCCATGTCACCATGCCCCTTGCTCTTCTTTAGGCACTGGGACACTACATCAAGTGCTCTGTCAAAGGCAGAGGAGGCTCCCCACTGGGGACAGCTGTGGCTGCAGGAGGCTGACCTGTCAGCCCTCCGGCTCCTGGAGGCCCTGCTGCAGACGGGGCCCCACCTGCTGCTCCAGACATATGTTTTTCTAGCCTCAGACTTCACAGATGTTGTGCCAGGTGAGTACCTCTTGCTGCAGAGCTCAGACTGTCAACTTCCCAAGGGGGACATGAACACATGACTGGTTAGCAAAACCCTCCCAACTGAGACTTCCCCTGCCCGGGAGAATGAGGGCATCCTGTGCTCACTAGCCCGTAGGGGACTACAGGTGGCTTTGCTTGGGGCAATGCATTCTCAGTGAGCTGGCTCTCCTGGGGGTTAGACTGTAAGGTCAGGCCAGAAGATAGAAATTGTGCACTTAAGATGACCCTGAAAATACCCCAGGAAGAACTGCTTCTCAGTGAGATCAGTGCTCCATCTTCCCTGTGTCCTTAGTCACTAGAATAACTCCTAAAGCAGCCAGAGCTGACTCCAGAGCCTCATGGAAACCACAACTCAGATCCCAGATGATGCACATTTCCATCTCCTGCATCCACAATCTCTCTTTCCCTCCCTCCCTCCCTCCCTCTCTTTCTCCTTCCTTCCCTCCTTCCCTCACCCACCTCCTCCCTCCCCCTCCCTCTGTGTGCACGACATGTACATAAACCAAATGCTCAGAAGACAGGACTGTATCATTCTTCCATGCATCTTCATCGAAGGGCCTGATGCCGTTTATGTTCTGATTATAGATTTTTATTAAATCTCCTTCACATGATCCAGTGATTGAGCAGCAAAACACCTGGGAAGGAACCACATTCATCATCTTCCAGGGTCTGCTTTGTTCTAAACAGAACTTAGACCAGAGGGTTTGGACCTGGGGCTGGGAAGTTCTTCCTAAGGGCTTACAAAGGGATAGGCCATTTGCTGGGCAGGGCACCCAGGACATTGGGCAGTGGAAGTGCTTCTTTGTGTCCTCATTTATTCCTGTATACAGATTTGTACCTTCGTGCACACAGTTGTTAATGTTTCCACCTTCAAGGGGCTTGGTCAGTGGTGTCCTCTGTAGAGGTGGGTTTTAATGAGAGGTTATATGCCCCATTAAACCAATGAACCTGGGGCTGGGGATGTGGCTTAAGTGGTAGCGCGCTCGCCTGGCATGCATGCGGCCAGGGTTCGATCCTCAGCACCACATACAAACAAAGATGTTGTGTCCACCGAAAACTAAATAAATAAATATTTTTTAAAAAGAAACTCTCTTTAAAAAAAAAAAAAAAAAAGCAATGAACCTTCAACTGTGGCTATTTGGAGCCTGCGAGGAATGTTCTGTCTGTTTGCTTCCCTTTCAGGAGTCAGCGCCCTGCTCTCCTGGTCCTCACTGTCCTGGGCCCTGGTGTCCTACACCCACTTCCTGGGTGTCCTGAAGCCAGGCCACCGCGTCATGCCATGGGCTGCCCTCTTCTGCCAGCAGCTCTGGCGGATGGGCATGCTGGGGACCCGCGTCCTGAGTCTGGCTCTGTTCTGCAGAGCTTACCGCGTTTGGGTCCTGGTGGTTGGAGGTAAGCCGAACTCACACCCTGGTCATCTACTGCTGCATAACACCACACCGCAGAGCGGCATGTCTTAGAAATCACTGTTGATGATCATGAGCCCCAGGTCTGGGGCTGGCTTGGCTGGGCCGGTGGCTCCTGCTTAGGGGTCGCCTGTGGTTGCAGCAGGAGAGCAGGCCTCTGGGTTCACAGGGAGGCTGGAGCGGGCTGCGTGCACACATGGCCTTGCTCTTCCACAAAGTAGCCTGGACTCACCCTTGGCAGCTGAGAATTCCAAGACAGGAAGTGGGACCTGCCAGTCCTCTTAAAAGCCAGGCCTAGAACTGGCTCAGTATTGCTTCTGCTGGGCTCTGCCGGTCCGAGCAGCCACAGGCAACCCAGATCCTCCTGCGTGGAGGCGCAGACCCAAGCTCCCAGAGGGCCGTGGAGTGGGAAGGAGGGCACGCGGCTTGCTCTGGAGAGACCTCGCCATAGCTTACATATCCCAGCCTCGAAAGTCCTAGGGACCCCCAGGGCATAGACACCATTCTACATCACAGACCAAAATCTTTCCCTAGAAAAACTGCCATTCAAATAGGAGGGAGGTCTGGGGTCCCATTGCCTTGACCCAGAACAAAAATATACAAGTTATGCGAAGCTGCTTATAGTCTCTGAAAGTGCTCCGACATTGTCTCTGTCTGAAACGAGACAGCTCTTCAGAACCCCAGCCCTCTGTCCAGGGCACACAGAGATGCACAGTGATGACAGGGAGTCTCTCTGGCCTTGCACACTCCTGAATGGGGTCTGTGTGTCTCTGCCAAGGACAGCAGTCTCCTCTGGTCATCAGTGAATACACTCTGCAAGAAAGAACAGTGTACTCTTGTTTTAAGGGAACTGGAGACATTGAGAGATATTTGGCCCTTGGGCCCAGAACAAACATTTGATACAGTTATTGGGAGGGAAAAAAAAAACTTGCTCCAAAAGAGAAATTAACGATGTTTTTATTCATCCTTTTAAAAACTCGGCTTTAACTCTAGAAGGATATTACTCATCTTAAAACATAGGCATAAAAACTATAGCTGGACCACATAGAATCTTTCCCTGTGGGTACAGAGGGTTTGGGCTCATGTAGTAACAATTTTAAAATAGTAGAGTCGATTTTGTAACTGCCTCCTTAAAACCTTTCTGGAACCAAAAAGGCAGGGGTACGTAACATCTGACATGTGTCATCGAGGGCAGCAGCTCGTCTTTGTTTCCGAGTCTCCAGACTAGGCCAGTGCCCTTTGGGAGGCTCGAGAGGTGATAGGTGCAGAGCTGGACTGGCCGCTTTGCCGCTCCTCCACTCCTCTGGGTTCTGGTGTCTGTTCTTGGATGCTGGGGCAAGCAGAGAGGGATGTTTCCAGGCCGTGCTTCTGTGTTCTTGCCCCCTCCCCCACCTCCCCCTGGACCCTGACCACCACCGCTCGCCTCTCCCCAGGTGCCCACTGGCTGGTGATGACGTTCTGGCTCGTAGCCCAGCAGAGTGACATCATCGACAGCACCTGCCACTGGCGACTGTTCAACCTGCTGGTGGGGGCCGTGTACATCCTCTGCTACCTCGACTTCTGGGACAGCCCTTCCAGAAGGAGGATGGCCAGCTTCTACTCGGCAAGTGCGACGGGGGCGCTCTTTCATCCCGGCTCTCCCAGAATGTGTGTGGCCTGTCGTGTGTGTGTGTCTGTGTGCACAGGAGCCTGTGTATGTTTCTGTGTACACAGGAGCGTGAGTGTGCACACAGCTATGAAAGAAGGACTGGCGTGGTTTACAAGAAAATTCTAAAAGGAATTAGTCTTGAATGGAGACGACAGGCTGTGAAAATACTAAGCCGATGTCCAGGTGCCACCACAGAATCACTGTGGCAAAGCTGAGGCACGTTTGGTGTGTTCTCTGCTGTCTGCTGAGGGTCCCTGCAGGTTCTCGTCCCGCAAAACGGCCTTGGTCATCACCTCAGTCTTTACCAGGTGTTTATCACCGAGTTCCAGATGCGGTCCTACCTAGGGTGACAATCTCAAAGGTGGCCTGATGTCAGTCTTCAGGTTGCTTCTATTTCAGCAGAAATTTCTACCCATTTTTTTAAAAATTCATATTGGTAAGTTCACATGATAGTAAGGCAGGATGTGGGCCAGGCAGGAGAGACCTACCAGCATGGCTTCCCATTGGTGACCAGAGATACTTGGGGCCAGAAGGTGAAGGTTGAGCTGCACTGTGAAGAGCAGAGCAGAGAAAATATGGCCCAGAGGTGCAGGCCCCAGGTTTCGAAGGCTAACGAGGTGATGGAACCCCAGCCCTGCTGGTCACGACCCAGAACTCAGATCCTCGCAGCCTTTTCCACCTGTCCCTCAGTGTTCCTGTGACAAGTAAGACCCATCTACTTGCAAGATCAAACAACAGGTGGCATAAGTAGCTTGGCACAGAGTAACCTATAAGTGGAGGTGAGACACGTGACAGATGTCACAAGCCTTAGCAGGCAAACTCCAGCGGGGGTTACACATTCAAAAGGAAATACAGTTAAAAAAGATGGTGAGACACCAGCCGAGCCGGTGACAATTATAAGGAAAATACAGATAACGACCACCCAGCTTCCCAAGGGGACCTCAGACCTCCAGGAGCCTGAGCCAGCTGGGTCCTCATGACTGTTAGGGAGCTGGGGCCCTCTCAGAAACTGAGGCAGCACAAAGACCCCCTCTTCAAACCCCAATTCTTGCAATCGGGTCAGAAAGACTGCAGACATGTCGCTCAGAGCAACAAGAATGTTTAATGAAGGAATAGGAAAGCAGAAGGGGACACTCTCGAGGGAGAGGGTGGGTCCTCTCAGGGAAGACAGGGACCGTGTACCTCTCCTGCACTCCAGTTTTATTGGGGATCCCAGAGAAGTTTCCAGAGAGTCCTGCCCGGGTCCACCTCTTGACTTTGGACTGACAGCAGGACGGTATCAGACTTTCAGGCCTTCCCTGCCATGGCAACTCTAGGTCACCTTGGCCCGTGCTGACCAGCTCTAGTTGAATTCTTAACCACACGCAGATCGATTTTCTGGTTAGGAAGAACTTTCCTTATCTCTCAAAGTTCTGGGATCTGGTCACAAAAATCTCCTGGGTTCCTCCCATCAGTGTTCTCCTGGGCCTGCATTTCTCCTGCAGTGAACAACAGGTAGTTTGCTGAGGAAGGTGACGTATCCTGTCCACTGAGGGGTTCTGTTTCTAGGGGCCATTTGGCCTGGGCACCCTGGAGACAGCGAGGAAGAGCTGCAGATCCAGGAAGGGCGCGGTGGCTCTGCCTTGTTCTGACAGGTGGTGGCTCTGCCTTGGTCCCACAGGTAATGCTGCTGGAAGACATCATTCTTTTGGTGCTGGCCACTGACTTCCTCCAGGGGGCCTCGTGGAGCAGTCTGCGGACCATAGCTGGGGTCTTGTCTGGATTTCTGATAGGTAAGACCCACCGTGGCCGCCTTCTCCAAGCCTCCTCAACTTGGTTGTCTTGTTTTTATGTTGGACTCAGAGGACAGGAAACTGAGCTCAGAGGTGGTGGGCTGGGGACTGAGGACAGAGCCACTGTGCTGTGGCTGGAGGCCATGCTCCAGGGCAAGAGAAACTGAGATCAGCCCTGTTGTCCTGTCTTGACTGCTGGGAACTCAGGTGAGGCTGGGCCTAGCCCTGTGTAGCCAAAATGCCTCCTGTGCCAGCCCCTCTCCAGGCTCCCATGGGGTTAGGGTGATTTCCCTCTCCTCCCTGTCCTGGCCTGACCACACGGCCACGGGCACTCTGGTGTCTGTCACATCTGCAGCTGGTTGGAGAGAGTTTGCACAGAGGTCTCTAGGAGACTCCACGAGACCAGCAGTTGCTAAGTGGTCTAGCTGCGTCCACCCCAGCTCCGTCATGGGCATCAGCACCGTGCTCGGGGGCTTCAGGTATCAGTCACACTTAGTGAATGGACAACCTGATGTCACTGCTGTGTCCATGTGTTGACCTTGCCTCCCTGATAGGGGTGAGCTCAGCAGGGGCTTCATCCCTGCACTTGAAGGATGATGCTAGCCTGCCCCCCCCCGCCCTGCCAGCCGCTCTTGAGCCTGTGGTGGATTGTCCAGGATGGCCACCACACGTGGCAGTGGCCCCTGCCCAGGATCCCCCATTGTTCACTACAAGTCTTGGTCCTGAGGTCCTGCCCATGCCCCCCCCCCCCGCTCACCTGGTCCTGAGGTCCTGCCACGCCCCACCCCTTCCTCTGCCCACTTGTACTCTGAAGGAAGCACATGGAGGCAACAAGACCACCTGACACCTGGGCCCTCCCCAGAGAGGTGGGCAGCAGGGACCTAGGGCCCTCTTCTTGCCCCAGCTCTGGGGGTGGGCTGGCCTACGAGAGCAGCTGTGACAGGGGAAAGAGCAACCTAGACACAAAGCCTTCGAGGTGAGAGACCATTCACAGCACAGAGGAGATTCCCAGATCACGGGTCTATGGCAAGTACGTGAGCCCCAGCCACCTGGGCCTTAAGCCTGCCTCCTCTTCCTCAGAGTCCTGGCTTGGCAGAGTGGGTGGCTGAGCCAATGCTGCTTCTTCAGATGAACTTTTCAGATAGTTGTAGTTTTGATCATGCAGAGAGTACCCTGTACCCATCACCCAGTCTCCACCCTGCAAGACTATATCACAGTCTCACAACCAGGACAGCATGTGACACAGCCCAGACAGGAAGACCCTCCCACACCAAAGACCCCCACAGCACCCACTTCCTCTCACCCCACCACACCCCCAGCTCCTGGCCAGCCACCCACCCTCCACCTCTGCACCTCTACCACTTCAAGGATGTTACGTAAATGCCCTTGTGGTACCAGTTCTGGGTGGTCCTCTTCCCTCACCGGCCCTTTGATGGCTGAGCAGCATTCCACAGCGTGGCAGGACCACAGTTGAACCACCCGCCCACTGAAGGGCATCCGTGTAGCCCTTTATAACACAGCTTAGCTAGCTGCGCTTTCCTTTCTAAGCCGCTGGTGTGCGTAGAATGACCCATCTCAAGAACAGCAGGCTGCCCAGGCAGGTGAGAACCTGAGGCTCCCGGGGGCTCCTGGCCCTGCCGAGCAATCCCTGGGGGGTGGGGCCACGTGGCAGGTGGGATCACGGCGGAGCCAGCCATGAGGACTGACCTCTTTGCATGCTATGGCTCAGGGGAGGCACAGCGGAGTCCTATAAGCTCGGGGTGGGAAGAGCACAGGCAGGGCTCAGCCAGAGTGGGCCTGCCTGTCCCTCTCCACTGAAGGCAGAGCTTGAGCAGGCCTGGCTCACGAGGGGCCTCAGGAATCCTCAGCAGGAAGAGATACAAAACAACGAAAAAGAAAGAAATTTTGTGAGCCAGTTGTTCAACACAGGCATTATTGAGAATTAACTATATTATGTGTATACTTACAATCAAATACACTATATCAAAACTGATATCACTAAATATGAAACAAAATGGAAAGGAAGAAGGTAGGAAGGGAGGGGAGGGAGATTTGTAGTCCAAAGAGCTAGAGCTCAGGCTGAAAGTAGACAGTTCCTGCTCACATTTAGCCCCCACCACCTTTCCTTCTTTATTGAGCACCTACTGCCTGCCAGCCTGGGACTACAACCCAAAACCAGCAAATCGCGTGGCCCTTGGAGAGACTTTTCACTGGATCTGTGTGCTAAGGACTTCTATGACCCACAGCTTGGTTCGTCTTGGGTCATTCATTGTAAAAGGTGGTACTAGGTCCCTCCCAGCAATGTGAGAGCAGTGTGCAGAAGTTGTGATCAGGGCCTGCTGCAGAGGCCACACCGAGCATGTAGGGATTCTGCCCCGTGTCCCTGGTTCGAGCCCTGAGCAGTGGCCCTTGGCCCGAGAGACAGAGGGTCTGGGGCAGAGTCCTGGGGCCCCTTGCAGCTCTTCACACTGGTGTGTCCTGGCGCCCTCAGACTCTTCTCGCCAGCACTTCCTCCCGTTTCCTGCGGTTGATAAGGAGCGCCCTGCCCAGCGCTCCTCCAGTGCCGCAGGAAGCTGGGCGCTGTGTGGGAGGCTTACTGGAATGCTCTGTTAAAGAGATTACCCAGCAGTCAACACTCCTGATCAAAATATGCGAAAAAGGCAACAATGTGACAAAGGTGTTTGCACACAGAGGAAGCCCGGCTGCTGCTCCTGGAAGTTCCTTGATGTAGCTATTCAGGAGCAGGACGGCCTGGGCTGCAGCCCTCTGCCAGCACCAGAGCGCTGTGGCCCCTCCACCAGGGTGTTGACTGAGAACTCTTCTAGGCATGTTGCACACTCACACACGTGTGCCCACTCCCACACGCTACACATCCCCGTGCTACACATCCACTACACACATGTACACACATATATTCTCACACACAACCCGAGCACTCGGTGGGAGTGTGCTTGAGAAGGAAGACCCAGAATCAGTAGGAGTCAAGCTCTCTTGTTCCAGTTGAAGATGAGCTGCAAACCCTAGAAGCTGCAAACTCCCCCAGAACATGCATTTCTCAGGCTCCAAATAGTCTCACTTTGGATCCCACTGATATTGCTCTACTCAAAATGGCTGGAACCTGGAACCACAAACCATGAGGCTGCAGGACTTCCGAGAACTTGACCTGGTACTCTTTCTGTCTTTTCAGGCAGCGTGTCGCTGGTTATTTATTACAGCCTGCTGCACCCCAAGTCCACAGACATCTGGCCAGGCTTCGTGAGGACGTGCAGAGGCCCTGCCGGCAGGGACAGCGCAGAGCAGGAGGCCCCTCCCGGGACCACGGCTCCAGCGGCCGGGAGGCCCGAGAGCACAGAGTCTTGCCACGGAGAAAGCTGGGTGCTGGAGAAGGCCTCCAGCCCAGAGCAGGGCCCTGCAGAGGCAGAGACGGGGGACACAGGCTCCAGGGAGGGGTCCCTCCTGAGCCGCCACCACTGGCTGCTGGTGAAACTTGCCCTAAAAACAGGAAATGTGCCCAAGATCAACGCAGCCCTGGGAGAGGACAGTTCTGGCTGCCCTTGTCCCCCCACATGGGGGTCCAGTCAACACTGCAGTCTGCAGGGGCAGACCCTATTTACCCAGAGAGCCCACCTGTCATCCCCCCATGATGCTTCAGCCCTAGAGAAAGGCTCCAAGTTTGAAGGGACCCCAAAAGCAGAGGTGGACGCCTTGGAAACCTCGAGTTACATCTCTTTTGCCAGTGATCACCAGGACAGTGTGCCCACCCAGAAGCCGTCAGCTCCACGTGGGGAGGACGACCCAAAGGAGAGAGCCAGAGCTGCCCCCAGGGAGCAGGGGAGGACTGCAGGGGGGCAGCTGAGAGGAAGCGAGGGACCGGAGAGCACAACATTGTACTTCAGTGCCACCACGGAAGTGGCCATGTCCTCACACCAAGAGGGCAGCCCCACATCCCTGCTGTTGGCCCGCTCCAGGAGGATGCCGGGAGAGAGCAGCCCTGCCCAGCCTCCCTTGCCCCTCACTGTGGCCAACATCAGCCCCATCCTAGGCGCAGGCCCGTGCAGACACTTCCGCCCCAGCCCAGGCCTCCCTGGACCAGCCCTGGGTGGCTCAGAGTGTGGGGAGTGGCAGGAGCCGGCAGAGGCCCTGAGCCATCCTGCTGTAGGTGGCACCCCAAGGCTGTGGCCACAGATGAGCCTGAGATCCGCTGAAGAGCCCCGCCTCACGTCCACCCCCAAGTCCGAGCCCATCCAGAGGGACTGCAGCTGCCCGGACAGGATGAAGCCCGAGGCAAGCTTCTATATCTGACCACAGTCACAGTGAGACAACAGGTCACAAATGGGGCCAGCCACCGGGAGCCATGATGAGAGAAACCACCTCTGACGTCTTCGTCCTTGGACGGGCTTTTCCTCCTCTGGCTCGCCGTCTGCCCACCTGAAAAATGAGGGAGCAGGACTGGATGCCCCCTGTACCTCCTGCAAGAACGTCTCCTGTGGCACCAGCACAGGGGACATCCTAGCACAGTGTACCCGGGTGAAGGCTCCCAGGCTGCTCGCCTCCTCCAGTGAGCTGAATGGTCCCCATTTCCCATCTTGGTGGCACTAGGAAACAAAGGTAAAACTCAGTTCTGTTTTACCCTGGGTTCTTGGTAACTAACTTTTCCTGACACTGAGTGCTTATTAAATTTTTTTAATAAACGTATTCCAACTGCATTATTTCTTGGAGTCACGCAGCTAGACAATGCAAACTCTGGAAGCAGAACTACAGTGCCTGGAGTCAACTGAACCCGCAAACGCCGTTCTGAGATTTCCTCGCTCTTTGGCAGAGTCTGGATGGTATTTTTCAGTGAAATCCCAGATATCCTTCCCGCAGGCCAGCCGGCCAGCAGTTCTTTGTCTGCTTTTGATAACTGCCATTCTGACTGGCGTGAGATGAAACCTTAGAGTAAGGTTTTCCTTTATCTCCAAACACTGCTTCCTCCTCCATTCCACGAGAGAAACTATCCAACTCAAGTGCATCCAGCGAGGGCTGCCAGCGCGCCCTGGTGACAGTTTCTTCCTCGCTCCTCTCTATAGGCTGACCCTGTGGGTAGGAATTTCCATCCTTTCTCTACGCCTTCCTTCATCGCTGGCTAAGGAGACCCAATCATAAACCCTCTAGAGAAAGGACACGGGAGGGCTGTGTGCTGTTAGGGTGGGGAGCTTCTCCTCTCCAGGTGTCTCTGGGTCCAGGGACAGCATCAGAGACCCAAAGAGGACGGGAAGCCAGCCTCACTTAGGCCAAGACCACACAAACATCGGCAGTGAGCTCGCAGACATCCTCGTCACCAGCCATGGAAGCCAATCAGACAGCTCAATGCAACAGTGAACGTCAACTATGGGGAGTTTAAAAAGAATGAGTCATAGTGACAGTCACTGTGCCTCACATCATCCGTTTTTTTTTTCCTCCTCTGCCTAGGTTCTCACCAGCTGAGTGAGAAGAACATGGGCCCCTCAATTCCTCCCCTTCATCCTCTGATTCTCAACTCCAGCATGCCTTTAATTTTTTTATTAGTTCTAATTAGTTATACATGATAGTGGAAAGCTCTTCAATTCATTGTACACAAATGGAGAATTTTTCACTTCTCTGGTCGTACATGGAGTAACATCATTCGTGCAGTCATGCATGTACCTAGAGAATGATGTTCGTCTCATTCCACCATCTTTCCTACCCCTTGCCCCCTCCCCTTTGCCCCATCCAAAGTTCCTCCACTCATCTCATGCACACCCCCCATTATGGATTAGCATCCACTTATTGGAGAAAGCATTCAGCCTTTGGTTTTGGGGGGGATTGGCTTGTTTCACTTAGCATGATGTTTTCCAGCTCCATCCATTTACCTGCAAATTCCATGATTTTATTCTTTTAATGCTGAGTAATATTCCATTGTGTATATATACCACAGTTTCTTTATTCATTCATCTATTGAAGGGCGTCTAGGTTGATTCCACAGTATAGCTATTGTGAATTGAGCTGCTATAAACATTGAAGTGGCTGTGTCCCTGTAGTATGCTGTTTTTAAGTCCTTTTGGGATAAACCCAGGAGTGGTATAGCTGGGTCAAATGTTGGTTCCATTCCAAGTTTTCTAAGGAATCTCCATACTGCTTTCCAGACTGGTTGCACCAATTTGCAGTCCCACCAGCAATGTATGAGTGTGCCTTTTCCTCCTACATCCTCACCAATAATTATTGTTGCTCATATTCTTGATAAATGTCATTCTGACTGGCATGAGGTGAAACCTTAGAGTAGTTTTGATTTGCATTTCTCTAATTACTAGAGATGTTGAACATTTTTTTCATATATTTGTGGAAAAGAACCTAGTAATTAGACCAGAGACCTTATGCCTAATAGAAGAAAAACTAGGCCCAAATCTTCTTTATGTTGGATTAGGCCCTGACTTACTTAACAAAACTCCTAAAGCGCAAGAAATAAAATCAAGAATCAATCAATGGAATGGATTCAAATTAAAAAGCTTGTTCTCAGGGAAAAAAAAAAAAACAACCAATGAGGTGAAGAGAGAGGCAAATTTTTGCCACATGCATGTCAGGTAGAGTACTAATCTCCAGGATATAAAAAGAACTCAAAAAACTTAACACCAAAAAAATAAACAACCCAATCAATACATGGGCCAAGGAACTGAACACACGCTTCTTATAAACAAATCCAGCCCGCCTTCAGAGAGCCTTGTCCTGCTGGCCTCCTCCACCTCACCTCTCCCTGGCTGCCCCCCGTCCTCTGCCCTCCATGACCTCTCCCAGGCTGGAAACCCATCCCCACTTGGAGCTCTGGGTCTTCAAAGCCAGCACAGAGCCTGTGACATTCCAGGAAAAATTAGCAAAGTGGGGAGACTTTAGTCAGGACTTGCAGCTCTGCCCCCCGTGGTAAAAGGCGCTGTGGCAAAACAGTGTGGCAGAGGGAAGCGGCTCAGACTCTGTGCCCCCAGATACAAATATATACCCCAAGGCCACGCCCCTAATGCCCCACCCCCTCCAGCCACACCCCACCTGCCTCCAGTCAGCACCCAGTTAATCCCACCAGGGACTAACTCCTGATTGGGTTGAGGCTCTCATTACCCAATCATTTCACCTGGAAACCTTGCATTGTCTCACTCTGGACCTCTCGGGGACACCTCCCATCCAAACCATAACAACCTAACTTCTTCTCCCAGGGGGGACACCTGACCGTCCACAAGCTGCAGGCCATAGCTTTCATGCGTCTTCCTCACTGCCATTCCTACCCAGGCAGGGAAACCCAGCCCCAGACCTGCAGGGAATTCGATGGTTCCCGTAACCTTCTGTTCCTGGGGAAGGCTGTTTGGTGCAGCCCCTTGTGAGAGGCGCGGCAGGCATCCAGCAAACGCCTCTTTTCTGGAATTCAGTGAGGCTTTTCTCAAGGACCAGGAGCAAAGCTTCTGAAGGGCCATTGTGGACACGGGTCTCAGCAGACAACCCCCCCTTTGTAGTGGGGGCTCTGTTACCTCAGGACGCAATGCCCCCTCACCCTGGAGGGGCTGCTCTCAGTGCTGTGGAGGGGAGTTTCCAAAGCCAAGGAGGCCGGGAGCACCCGGTTTGCTGCCACTCACCTGAGGGACTAGGCTCTGGCGGCCACTGGGCCCCATCGGAACCGTGCTGTTGGCGAGGGCAGCAGCCAGCCCACAGGGACCAGGGAAGGAAATGAAAGCCCTGGGCCCTCTCTCCTCAGACGCCATCATGGGCCAGCGCTCACCGGAAGCCAGAGGACTTGGAGCTTCCCACACAGCTCCCATGGCCCAGAATGGGCAGACTGGGCAGAGGGGAAACTGAAGATCACTGAGGGTTGCCACGGGACATGCCTCCAGATGCCCGGACACACTGTGACCTCTGCCCAAACGGCCCCCATGCCGTGGCCTCTGTGTGTGTCCACTTTACATGGTGGTCCTCTCCCTGGTGCGTGCTGTCTGCACTCTGGGCTCTGGCCTGTGGCTGCATCTGGCTGGGGCCTTCACGGCTCGTCCACATGACTCATTTAGACTTTATTAGGAAGGGAAAAGCAGAAGGGAGATTCTGCATCTTCTGCCGGCTCCTACACGACAGAAGAAATCCTGGAGGGGGACATTTGAAGACCTCTCTGGCTCTCTGTAACACAGGAATGGCCCAGCAAAGCCAGCCGCGGCCCCTCACTGCTTACCCTCCTCCTTTAAGGACAAACAGCACAAAATCTCAGTGACATGGACCAGCACTGCACACCACTCAGGTTGGGTCTGTGGGATCTAAGGGACCCTTCCGCAGGCTGTGGTCCAGGTCCCATCCACTCACACCCCAGGCTACGGGGCAGTGGCCAGGCCCTTCGTTCTTCTAGAGAGGAAGTCTGGGAATTGCCTGATGGGTGGGTGGACACACAGGCATAGGACCCACCAACCCAGGTTCCCTGCTGGGGACAACACTCCTCCCGCAGAGGAGGGCAGAACTGGCAGCACCTTCACTCCCCTGGTACCCTGTCTGTCCATCATGTGATCCTGGAGTTCACAGTGCTCCAAGTTATAGCAGCCCAAAGGATTAATGCTCCGCTGCCAAGGGCTCTGAATCCAGAAATGGATTCTATGCATATCTTAAAAGTTCAGCATTTCTAAATAAAAAAATAGGTCTAACCCTCATACCCCAAAAGATCTGCTTTCATGTGTCAACAAGAGGTCTGACGTACATTTTCTCTTGCTGCTCTGCAGAGTAGGGGAAATGCCTTCAATTCCACTCAGGCCCCAAATCCTGAGAGTTCATGGTTCTCACAAAACCTAGAAAGGCAAACAGGACACTCTGAGAGATCTGGGGGGGAAATAATCCAGAAAGCAGGGCCCTTGAGGAAAGCACCACCTAGCTTTCCTCCGTTGCCTCTTTCATCATATAGAAAGAAGCTCGGTCCTGCTGGGGAGGCGTGGAGCAGGGGAGGTGTGGAGCAGGGGACCCACCACCACCCCCGGTGACTCCTCTGCTTTTGCCTCAGGAGGGGAGCAGACCTGCTCCCCACCAGGCGCGGGCAGACACGTTCACCTGTTTTCCACGTATATTCTGCCCCGTTGAGCACGAGGCCTGATGGTTCCTTCTGAGTCTTTTCATGGAGGTGATCTCCAGCTACATGTTGACTACACTAGGGTTTTTAAGCACCACGAAAGGATTTTCCTTGGAAACTCAGTCTAGTTTCTCTCTTTAAGAGAGTTTTAGTTTTCTGTCTTGAATTTGATCCTAGTTCTATATTATATGTATTCTACTTCTATATATTAAAGTGTATTTTATATACA